GTGAGGGAACAGGAACGCATAATAAGCCGGCATGCATGTCCTCGGAGAGGAGGAGCTGCTGCCCAGGTCGGGGCAGAGAGCACCTCGGTGCCGGGGCTCCAGTACGGGGTGGTCTGGCAGGCAAGGGAGTGGTCCCAGACTCTTTATGCTGGCAGCACGAGCAGAAGCCAAGAGCCTGCACGAGGGGGAAATCGGCTCTCTCGACAACTCATCCACAGAAGCAACGGGCAGCCCTACAGTCCACCCCGCATCCTGACCCAGGAGGCCCATTAGTAATGGAAAAGGCCTGGCATCAGATGCTCTCATCAGAGCACCTGCAGGATGCCAGGCCAAAAGGTGGGGTCCCACGGCTTAGCCGCTCTCTGCACTCTGTGCAGCGCAATAGAAGAGGCTATGCCTCGAGGTAATACTGGGTAGGGTCAACCAGCTCCTGGCCCTTGGTTCCTGCCTCTCTCAGCCCTCTGCACTCTGATGATGTCACAGAGAAGCATTTAATCCAAGGAAACTGAGGCAGGCCTGCAAGAGGAAGGGAGAGGAGGTGAAGTCACACAGCTGATGAATTGGCAGTTCTGGGTATCAGATTCTGAACTCAGCTCCTCTAACCCCAGATCCAGTTAGCCTTTCCCTATATATATCACATGGCTTTCTCATTAGCAGAGGAGGGCAAGATTTGCTCAGAGCCAATCCTGATACTTGTGCCCTGATCTCCACATGCCACCTGGTGATCCATTGGTCGGGGAGGGGAAAGAGGAATCAAAGAGGAGTTAGGCAACAGCATGAGGAAAAGCCAGCTCTCTCTGGCTCCTACCCCTGGGTGACAAGATCCCTGAGCCCTCCTTTACTTTAGAGCCCCTCTGTCCACCAGAGGGATGTTCCCCTGTTTTTAGCAAGGATACCCTGACTCTTCTCTCCCTTGGCCCTCACCCTTTGATGGCATCATCAAATGCCTGGCTGGGTGTTGAGCCTTGAGCTCAGACAGCTGAGAGACTTGAAGACGTTCTGTCTTTAGGCAAAATAGTCTCCCACTTGAGCTGTCAGAGTAGGGGTCTGGTTCAAGGGGTCTGGAGAGTGATGGCCCACCAGATAGGGGGAGTTGCAAGGGGAGGAAGGAGGTAGAAGAGAAACACTGTCATCAACTTCACACCCAGAGGCTTGCTCCCACCATGTTCTGTGGTGGGGCCAGCTGAGTTACTGTCCAGATAAAAGGAGGTGATGAGAGAAGTTTCCCTAGTTTGGCCAAGTGATGTTTCTGCCAAGGAAGCTGGATGTTTTAGGGGTCATTGTGTTTTTGAATTTGGGGTGGGGTTTTTTCCACTTTAGAGAGGTTGGGGTTTTTCCCACCCAGTTACATGAAAACATGAAACTTGAAACCAATCCCTCCCCTCATTTGTCCCTCAACGAGAAGCCTTTGCTGGGCTAAAGAGGGGGAAACAGTAAATGAGTCAGACTGGCTGTAGGGCCGGTGGAACTGCAGGCCTGTCTCTGGTCCATCAGTTTCACAAACCTTCATGAGCCAACCTGGGTCATGGGTGACAGATGCCAGGAAGGGGAGGAGCAGGGATGCCTCCCCACCCACCTTCTGCAGACTTAGTAGCCCAAAAATATATCTGTATTCAGGGACAATGCCTCAAGTCCCTAAAATACTCAATCTTTGTCTTCATCCTATTCAGTCCAAAAGTATTCCCTACTTTAAGGAGCCACACAGAGCTGCCCACTCGAGGCCCCTTCAGATGGAGAAAAACAGACATCCCTGGATGCTGAAAGGACCAATGGGAAAAGACTAGGTTTAAACCAGGGTAGGAAGGACGGAACTTCTTGGGCCTGGTACTTGGATTAGACCCAGGAACAGGGAATACAAGGGGGTCCCGGCACATCCTCTTTAAGAATGGGGGGAGGGGCAGCTAGGTGGTGCAGTGGATAGAGCACCGGCCCTGGATTCAGGAGGACCTGAGTTCAAATCCGGCCTCAGACACATAACACTTACTAGCTGTGTGACCCTAGGCAAGTCACTTAACCCCCTCGCCTAGCCAATATATATATATATATATATATATATTTAAAAAAAGAATGGGGGGACACTCCCATGGGACCAAAGCACTTTAGGTGTGGCCCTGCCCGAAGGCAGCAGAATGGACCGCATGACCTCCACAAATCCCTTTTAACCCCAGGATTATGGAGCAATGGGGCCAAGGAGAAGAAAATAGAAGCCCTTTCCCGCTCCACCTCCCATTGCTTCTCCCCTCCATGGGAAACTCCTCACTGCATTTGCTCACCTCCCCCAGGCCTCTGGGGAGCTGGGTGGGACCATTCTCAGCAGGGAGGCCCCAAGACCTGATGAGTTGGAGGGGGAGCACCCTCTGACCCGAGAGGCAGCTGCACAAGCCCAAGAAACCTGTACTGGCTCAGCCTCCACTGTGCAATTCTGCTCTGCCCACAGCTCCTCCACCCGAAGGCTGCAGTGGGGCACGCCCCTTGGCCCCCAAACCCCCACCCCAGCATAGATCCCAGGGCCGGCATTTGTGGAGAGGGAAGGAGACAGGCAACCGGGAGACGCACACCTACTCCTCTAACCATTTCATGTCCCAACAGGCCCAGGCCCCACTGGCCTACACAAGCAGAGCACCCCATCTCTCTCTGGCTGGGGGGCACACAGCTTTGCTTGCACAATGTACTCCTGGAAGCAGAGGATGGAGCAGCTAGATGTTAATTATGACGAGGCAAGTGCAGTGTGACATTGCCACCATCACCAGGGAGCCAGGCCCTGACCTAATGGGGAGGAGGGAGGGAAAAGGGTCGAAGGGAGAAGGGGGAGGAGGGAGGGGGAAGGTGGGAGAGAGCCTGCTGAGTTGTTGGGGAGCCTCTCATAGAGGGGAGATTCCCAGAATTTCCCCCAATTTGAGTTGCAGCAGCTAAGCTCCCCTGGGACCCTCCTTGACCACGAACTTGGGGAGCACCCTGAGGAAAGCAGCCCCAGACAACACATAAAAATTAATACATTCCAAATACTTTTAACAAAACATATTGAGTGCCTACTATGCACAGAAGGGCAGGCTCACACAAGCCAGTAGACGCTGCAGGAAAGGGACAGCAGTGCCACCTGCTGGGCCTGTCACCTCCCTGCCCAGCCCAGCAGCAGAGCCAGTAAATGAGGCTTCCTCCCCTGCTCCTGCCCCCTCTGCAGGGGAGAGAGATGACTAAGGTACCTTAGCCCAGCTAAGCCCTGAGGTCATCTCTCTGGAAATGAGAGGCTGATCTATCCAAGAGAGGGACCCCCAGGTCTGGCTCTGTTCTTTCCAAGGGGCCGACGTATGTGTGAGACTAGATGATGGGGTGACCATGAAGCGCCACTCCAGCACAAAAGACTTCATCATGCTCTAAGCAATCACCCGCTGGTCCTGCTGCTAGAAATGGGCCCTGCTTCAGAGAAACCCAACCCCCAACAGACTAGAGATGTGACCCATCTGGAATCTTCCCCTCCCCTGGCCCCAGAGGGGTGCACTCTAAAGAACATGGCCTCACACTTCCTTCAAATACAGCCAACTCAGCAGAACAGCCTTGAAAGTATCCAACAGGTATTGAACTTTCCACCGAGAATGAGAAGGACCAGGGTCAGCTAAGGCTCATCGGGTCTCTGGCCGAGACGGGCGATTGCAGGAAAGGGCGCCTGATGGGACCCCAGGAGGTGTCCCAACATGGAGCTCCACAAGAGCCCCTTTCAGACCTTTATAAACTCTCCATAGCCCAGGACGGGCTCTGCGAAACAGGTATTCCAAATGTGCTCCAGTCACAGCTTCACAGTGCATCTTCAAAGCACAGAATTCCAAACCCCCAAGATAGGTCTCCATGCAGGAGAAACCCGGGCCACCAACTGGGAAATGACTTGGCCAATGTAACCTGCCTTGCTCTTTACTGCTAATTGAGGGCTATTCGCTGCACCAAGCTGCCCCTTACCTGATTAAGTGGCCACGGCACCCAGCCATACCTAGTAATGAATGTCCACCTAAAAGAACCTGAGAAGTAGGACAAGGGGCAGGGGGCACAAAGGGCAGCACCAGGCCCTGCCTGAGGTGGGATGTGAGAGAGGACGGCCTCAGGTTGCTCCTGCCTTTCTTCGGTAATAATGATGATAACGGTAACAGCCAGCATTTATGTGGCTTTACATATGCAAAGGCGATACACTGTTATCCACACTCAATGCCACCTTATAGAGGGAGCTGCGGTGTTCCCACTAGGCAACACTTCCCTCCAGAAGCTAGTTAGCTTCCATGAGTTTCTCTGACCTTTATACATTCCCTTCTCTTTTCAAGGCTGTGCCTCAATCCTATTAGGTGACCCTTGCAGAAAGAGGCTACCTCACACTCGGTTCTGTACCGAGGCTGGCAATCATGGGCACTTGTTAAGTGTTAATAATGATAGCAATGGGAAAAAAAATCATTAAAATCCACCCACAGCTGTTCCCCCTCCAGGGCACTGGTGCAGTGTGAGCAAGCCTCCCTGAGCACTCTCCCCTCCCCCCAACCATCTGCTCTAAGCATGCTCAGTCCTGTCAGGCCTCCAGCAAGCCCACAATCCCTACAAGGGCACAAGAGGCAGGTGTGATTCTGGAGGGGGGGGGCGGCCTGTGTCCCCAGGGTGAGAGGGCCATGCCAAGCCATTTGTGGCCTCTGAATCATGGGAACTCCACTAGCGCACAGGGCAGGGGCAAGCAGCCAAGTCTGTTCTGATTTCAGCTGCCTGAGCAAGGGGAAAGGTGTTCCTGGACCTCTGCCTTCATGGGACCCCAGCCCATACTCTAGCCCAAGGTGATTAAAAAAATAAAAACCTCCTCAGAAAGCTGTCTCATCTCTTCTGAGGAGGCAGAAAGGTGCATCTAAACCCGAACTTATTTTGTTCGTCCATATTGTAGCCACAGGGAGGAAAACCCTGTTGGACAGAATCACAAGTTATTAGTAAAACAGACTTCTTGTGCCTAAAGAATGACCAGACTTGGACAACAAGAATTTAACGTTTTCGTTGACTTTTAAATTTGTAAATAGCTGGGGAGTTGACTGTTTCATTCTTCACCTTCACTCTGGGGGTTTTATCCTGCAAAACAGAGGGAAAAAATTAGTACAATTGGGGGGGGGGGTTTGAAGAAGAAGGTCTCAAAAACAGAGAAACAAATGAATAGGCTATTTATGTGAAAGAACTAAAAGTCTATGAGTATCTAAAGAGTCTGACATTTAGTAGATAGATGATAATAACATGGAAGTGTCATCTTAGACTCTTCAGCTCTGCTATTTAACTACACAATATCGTCTATTTTTAAACACCAGTGAGTGGCACTCACTGTTTTGTTAACCTGTTTAAATGTTACAGAGAGCTATTCATAAGCTATAAAGTTCAAATGCTGCCCGTTCCTACCCTATGCTGTTCCAAAGCACTGACTAATAACCCCCTTATTACCTTCTTAATCAAGGAACATTTCAACACTCCCAGAGTAACAGACATTGGCTCAAACTGTGCCCCTAAGGAGCAGACATTTTCACCACGCCTGATTTACACACAGATGAAATCCAGTCTCAGTTAAGACCTTTAAAAGAAACGAAGGCCTGAGGCTTTTCTCTACTCACCAGAAGATCTTTTCGTGTTTGGATTTTCTGTGCAATAACAAACAATTCCTTCTCCCTCTCGATACGTTGCTTCAGGAGGCTGTATTGCCTTTTCCTCTCTCTAGCTAGCTTCTGTAAGAGAAAAACATACAAGTATTTTCAGCAAAACAAACAAATGGAGTAAAAGTCACTAAGAAATGTTTCGGAGCCCAATGGGAGGCCAGATAGGCCAAGGCTTAAACAAGCTCTTTTCATGACTCCACGAGGGCCTCGCTACGAGGCAATGGATGAATTGCTTTGACTTTTGGGAACTGCACTTATTTGGAACCTCCAGTAATCACAGCACTCTTTTGTAGATCGTTTCTGTTTACCAAGGGCATCATTACCGAGGGCAGCAACCCTATGAGGTAACTGATAATTAGCCCTGTTATGCAGGAAACTCAGACCGACAGAAGTGACTTTGTACAAGGTCACAGAGCATGGAAGCAGGAGAGACGAAATCCAAACTCAGAACCTCCTAACTCCAACCTCCCTCTCCCTCTCCTCCCCCCAACCGCTTCCATTGTCTGTCTGGGATCTGAACATCTCGAGGCCAACAGAAGGGGCTGGCAAAGTATGGCCTGGTCCTTTTGTAGGCACTCTATGAGATGCTGAAAAAAACTTCAGGAAAAAAAAGAAATGGCCCTGCCCACATTCTGAAGCCTCTCCCTGCTGATCCCTCCTTTTCAGAGACACGGTCACTACCTAACGTGGGGCCAAAGCTCCACCAATGTTTAGCTCTACAGTAACAGGAGCGAAGAGGCTATTCTCTTCCAGTCCATCCACCTTGAGCAGAACACCCCAAACAGCCCCGATCACAAGGGACAAACACTGCTAGCTAAAACAAGGGAAGCAGGGCACGCCCCAGCACCCTACCTCTCTCCACTCCTCCCCATCCACTAGGGCAAAGCAATGCAACCAGGTAGCGATAGACAGTGATCTCTTGGGGGACCAGCATGTAATACTCAGGAAAGGTCAACGACACACTTAACTATTACCAAAACTATTTCACAAAGAGAGTAATGCCAGAAAACCAGCCTGGCTGCTCCAACTGCTGTGTATGTAGAGGGAATATTCTTGGACCTGAGAAGACAATTCACCAACTAGGCCACAGTCTCCCAACAGCGGTTTCAGACAGCTTTTGTTTTCACTTTATTGCACACACTGTCAAATTTATGGGATTGCCCAATATATTCAAACTAATTAGGGGTATTTATATTACTAAAGCAAGTTTAGCTGCCTCTGAGCTAGAGGAAACTGCTGTGAATTAAACATTGGAGGCAAAGCTGATGCTGTGTAAATGATTCAAATCACAACAGAACAGCTGTCTGCTTGAAACTCACAAATTTTTTTTTTCAATGAATCAGTCAGAACTGAGATTTCAATTCTCTGAGAAACCAAGCATCATGTTTCATAAACCCAATCACAATCATGGAAGAGAGTCACAAGGGAAAACCCAACAGAAATTCGTCATTGAGGCGAGGTGGGCTTCATGGTGGAGAGTGAGAAGACCCAGGCTCTGGCACCAACTGTACAATATCTGAGCTTTGTGAGTGACCCAAACAAATGACAATCTCCCTGAGCTTCAATCTCCTTATCCAAAAAGTAAGGGAGAAAGACCACCTCCAAGCACTGTTGTAGGGATCGAGGAAGATGGTGGGCATGGAAGCATCTTGTCAACTGCTACTCTAGAAATGTGAATTATTATTTATAACCAAAAAACTTGAAGGGGTGGGGCCATGGGGAAATACATAATCACTGCTAAATACAAGGCCTCAGACCAAAATAGTCCAAGTGTTTTATCCTTCAATCCTCTCCCATAGGATCAGAGAATGTTACTGATGAAAGGAATCCCAGAGATTACCTAGTCCCTCAATATATTCACTTATACATTTTAAACATTTTTACCATTTGTGATATGTCTTGAACCAATAGAGGAAGAATGATCCCTTGACTGTACTCAAATTTACCAATAATCTCATTTGTTATTATTTATAAAAATAACAAATTTTTGTTCTTCAGTCATTTTTCAGTGCTATCTGATTCTTCATGACTCCATCTGGGGTTTTCTCAGCAAAGACACTGGAGTGGTTTGCCATTTCCTTCTACAGAACATTTTACAGATGAGGAAACTGAGGCAAACAGGGTTAAGTGACTTGCCCAGGGTCACACAGCTGGTAAGTGTCTGAGCCTATATCTGAACTCAGGAAGATGAGTCTTCCTGACTCCAGGCCCAGTTCTCTGTGCATGATAGCGCCACCGAGAAGCCCCAATGTATATAATACTTTGAGGTCTGCAAGCATTTTACTTATGTTATCTCATTAGATTCTCACAACAACCCTGTGAGTTAGGGTGCTATTATTAACCTCACTTTACAGATAAGGAAACTGAGGCAAATAGAGGCTAAGTGACTTGCCCAGGGTCACACAACTAATAAATATCTGAGACATGATATGAATTAAGATCTGACTCCAAATCCGACTCTCTACACCTACAATTAGTCTGATTAGTTTTACAACAAAAAAGAACCCTGACCCCTGGATTAAAAGTCAGAAGACCTGGCTTTTTCTTCTGGCTCTGCCCCTTACTAGCTATGTGAACTGACAGAAATAACTTCCCCTCTCTATAGCTCAGTTTCTTCATTTGTACAATGAGGGAGTTGGATTAATAACTAAAATGCCTTCCAGCACTAAAATTCTATTTTAAAAAAACAAAATCAAAAAACTGAGGGTCTACAAGTCCAGCTGGTCCAAACCTGCATTAGTAGCTCTACCCAATCACATCTTTAGCACCAAAATAATAATCACTAGCATCTGCATAGCACTTTAAGGTTTGTGAAGTGCTGTATAAATATCTCATTTAAAAGACTTTTTTTTTAAATCTCATTTTTATCCTTACAACAACCCTAGATGTAGATTCTGGTTATTATCCCCATTTTATAGATTAGGAAACTGAGGTGGACAGAGGTTCAGTGACTTGCTCAGGGTCACACAGCTAGTAAGTATCTGAGACTAGATCTGAACTTAGGACTTCCTGACTCTAGACACCACAAAACTACCATCGTCAATGAATCAAGAAGACCACCAAAGTCTCCAAACAAACCAGATCATGAGCCAGTTTCCAGTCTCAGAAATCTGTATAGCCAAACAGAAGAGTTTACAACAAGTACCTTTGTTACACAAGGTGGCAAAAAGGAAACAAAAAGTCCTCCCACCCCCCGTGAGGCTGAAAGGAAAGAACTGAGGCAAAAAGCACCTCGATCTGGCTCCGCTTCGTCACGCCCTTCACGGTTTCTTTCTTCAAAGTCTCTATCCTCGGCCGGTTATAGACCCTCTTCACTAGCTCAGGGGCCGTCTGCAGGTGAGTGGCAATATCAAACTCTTTAACTGAAGCGCAGAGAGGGAGAGCTTCCTGAGTGAGCGCCCGTAGCAGCTGCCAACCCCCGCCCTCACCCAAGCCCCCCGTCCTCAGGGAGCCCCATACCTTCCTTTTTGGTATCAAAGAAGAAGACGTGCTTGTTCTTCTGCTTTCCCGAGGCCTCCAGCAGGTGGAGCTCCGATTTCAGGCGTTCGATTTTCTACAGATAGTCAAGGGCACATGGGCCTGGACTCTAGGGTCTCAGCCCACAAGTCTCAAAGGCTACCCTTTCCCGCCTCCCCCCGCCCCAGCCCACATCCCCAACAAGCAAAGAAGAGGTGCACTCGAGGGTGCCGAGACTGCACCTGGGCAAGCTTCTGCCCACCGAAGACCCAGCTCGGCTGGGGATCATCCTTCAATGACGTCACACTCTCCCAGAAAGGAACTGAGGCCCACAAGCCCATGCAGGACCCCATTTTAACAAGAGGGAAACATCAGGAGAGAACGCTCCCCATAGTACCTTGGCTTCTGCCACCCTCTTCATCTCCACATATTTGATGTCCTGAGCCTTCATCACCTTCAGCTGCTCATCGGTCACCTCGTCCTTAGGCTGCTTGACCACGTGGACCCCGTCCTAAAAGCCGGTTCAACCACCCACTGAGTTAATCACCCGAGGAGTAGTTAAGGTGTCCCGCAGGTGGCCCGGGCCTCTCTAAAGGAGGCTGCTCCCCTCACAGACAGCTCAGCTCCACCTGCACTGTGCAGGATGCCCGCCCCCTCCAACTGCCATCTTCTAAAGGTCCCCATTAACCCTAGTTCCACCCTCGAGGGTCACGTTGGGTAAGTCTGATCCTTTTTCAACATTAACATCCCTTTAGATAATTTAAGAAAACAATCACTCCCCACAAAGTCTTCTTTACTTCACAAATTGTCCTCATCTGATAGGGTTTTGAGACCCTTTACCATCCTGGTTATCCTCCTCTAGAAGGACTTCAACTTGTCCCTCCTAAAATGTGGCACCCACAGCTAGATAAAATACCTCAGATGTGGGCAGAGGACAGCCAGACCATCACTGCTCTGATTCTGGACAAAAGCCGTCTTGTAGTGACTCTGGCAAAAAGTGCATTACCTTATTCAAGGGCCATGTCCCACTATTGAATCATACTGGGTCTGAGATCCACTAGGACCTCCAAGTCTTTTTTTACTTATGAAGCTATCTAGGCTTATCCCCTCCTGCCCCTCTTCCTGCACTAAGTGTATGTGGCACAAACTCATTTTGCCATTTATATACGTTCTCTTCCAGAGCAACCACTAATATAAAATGATTCATACCCAGCCCCCAAAAGCTTGCCTGTTGGACATACATCTGATGATAGGTAAACTGGAGATTAGACCAGGGTTAGCCTTACCTCTCTGCCCTCCCCTCCCACAATGGCAAATACTCAGTGAATACTTCTGGGTCAATCAGACACTGACCTGGAGTTGAACCCGAGTCATCTTAAAATAAAACTCATCAGGATTTTTTTCCAGGGCCTTCTTCCGAAGGGCTCTGAGATGCTCCTGTTTCTTGTGGTAGTCACTGAAAAACACATCCCCACATGTTTTTACTAAACTGTGTTTACTAAATGACTTCCTCAGACCAGATCAATCCCAACAGGCAGCCTGGACAGGGATCTGAAAGTTCACGGACAACGAAACCCACAGTTCACTGTAGGCCCAAAGCAATTCAGCAACTGTCAACATCTCTCTTGCAAATGAAAGATCCAGTTCATTTCTCCTCATCAAATCAAAGTACGACCTATGTCACAGAAGCCATGGATTGTTAGTAAGAAGACCAAGGTCCAAATCCCAGCCTGGCCACTTACTTGCCACGGAATCTTGGCTAAGTCATTTAACTTCTCTGGACCTTGGCTTCTTCATCTGTACAGTGGGAATAACAACAGCGCTGCTTATTTCTAGGGTAGCTCTAAGGGTCAGTCAGGTGGTGCGTGTAAAGGACTGTCAAAGGTCAAGAGTTATCCATATATCAGTTATTGTCTGACCCCCCTCTCTCCCAGCCTGTCATACCCAACCTGGGCTACCTGGCTTCCTTCAGTTTAGCAACGTTCCTGTCATTCAAGAAGCTAAGAGCCACACAAAGTGAGAAACTAGGCATCTGAAGGGGGGTCTGGATGCCAGATGGGGTCACAGATGGAAAGAACATAATTCTGGAGTGACAAAGACAGCAAGTGTGGATAAGGCAGATACTATCATGCCCATTTTACAGCTGGGGAAACCAAGTGTCAGAGACATTGTGTCTCAATGAAAGTCATACAGCACCAGGAGAGAATGAGTCTTCTGGGTCCCTGATTTAGCACCAGGGCCTACCCACCTCCTTCGGGAACTGATGGGCCTTCAAAATTCTGTAAAATGCTCCTCCCATTCTGTACTGGAGATACAAGGAAGACCTGGGCCATCATATGGAATGACCAAGAAAGGTCACAGCAAGCATCCGACAAGAACAATGGCGCTAACTGTGCTATCAAGGATTCATTATCTTAGGGGTAAGGGTGGAAGGGGAGGGCAGTCACTATGACCCCAGCTTTCACATCTGGTTCACAAACTCTCCCATCCACACCTCATGGGGATGTAAGAGTTGGAACAACTGGATACTGAGATGCTATCTGGCATTTCAAGGACTGGAGAGGAAAAAATCCTGCTTTTTGGCTCAAATATCAAGACCATCACAAACAAAGTCACTTTGAGGAAACGAATCTGGAACAAAATGGAATGAAAAATTACGTTGCAACTGGAGCTGCTACAAATATTACTATGCCTAAACTAACAGACCAGTTTGGGGCCACGGAAAAGCGTCTGAGGGGCTGCCAAAGGTTTGGCTACTTCATCAATGGCAGGAAACAATCCCCTTCTGGAACTCAAGCAATTTTGTCACAGTGCTTCAAGACTATCATGTTATTTGCAGCAGCTTGAACAGAAGAATCAACTCACTTGGCACGAAGTTTATAATCTTTCTTCTTTTCCAGAAAGCCCAGATGTTTTCGAAAGCCAGGCTAGAAGACAAAAACATGGCGTTTGGTTTCCCCAGCACACCACACACCCAATAAAGCTCCCATTTGACTGCCACCAGCCCCTCTGAAGAGACAAGTAAATCCATGTCCTTGGAGCTGTCCCTGTGCCCCAGCTTCCCTCCCTCCTCGTTTCCTCCATACCTATCCTCTGCCAGAGGACAAGATACATCGAGTTGGGCGCCAGTAAGTTTAAAAGCTTGGCCACAGCAGGCTTTCTAACCAATTAAGGACAGAGGGAGGCAACAATGACTGTGCACCATGTGAGCAGTTGCCAGCAGAACTAAAATTAATGTGAACTGGATCCAAGAGTTTGTAGAAAATCAAGCAGAGGGAACACAATGTGTATGTCCAGTGTCCCAGCAAATCTTAGGGAAGGGAGGGAAAGCTTTCTACCTGAAGGAGAATACCCCTGGTCGGGAGGCTACAAGGATGGAATTGGGGTGGCTGAGCGTGTATCTGTTACTCTGACATCATACGAGGGGTTGCTCGGCTAGGCCTCCAATTTTTATGGAGCGATCTAACAATTAGAAGTCTACTAATATACTGCACATTTACGAGGTGGTTCATCGTTTTTTGTCATCCTTTCAAACAAGAGTATCTTTGGTAAATCCATGACTTTTTCCCTGTAGGTTCCTCCTCTATGGTCACATACTTCATAACCATCTGGTCTGAGCATTTAGAGTAGGAAAGGACTTTAAAAATTCCCTATCCAAATGGTTCCCAACTTTTTCAAGTATAAGAAACCTTTAAAATGTCAAAAAATATAATTTATCCCCACATGATGGTGAATGTACCAAATAACCATTAATAAAGAAAAATATGACAAAAACCTCTATGAAATCAATATTGCTTTTAAATGAAATTATATTCTATTCATCACAAGAGCATCTACAAACATTTGAAAAACAGTAATATTTATATGTGCAAGATATAGTCTTTATTCCATCTACAGAAGATTAAGTTTGTCAAAATACTAGATATCCAGTGTACTGGAGAACAACTAAGTAAATAGTGACACATTAATGTGGTGGAATATTTACTGCACTGGAAAAAAAAACAACAAAAATGAAACAGAGAAACATGAAAGACTAATGTGAACTCAAGAAGAATGAAGTCAGCAGAACCATGAAAACAACATATACACTGACTAAAGCAATGTTAATGAAAGGAACGATCAAGTGAAACTGACAGTGGTCATTAGAATGACCACACTTGGCCCAGAGACAATTCTCTTTTGATGGTGAAGTAGGGGCTTTCGGGTCTACAATACTGCATTCGGTGTCAGAGATAGGTCCGTGAGTCACTTAACTTCCTGAATGGTTTTTTTTTTAATCTATTAAAAGAGAAAGCTTGCTAGGCAGAGCAGGGAGGAACATAGTAGGCAATAAATGTGACATAAGAACAAAAGATTTATATAATAAATTAAAGGAAAAATGTAGTGGGAAGAGTGGAAGTTGGGGAGAATGCAGGGGGAAAAGTATCCATCAACAAGGGGTTCAGGAGTCAGGATCTGTTCTTGGAAGACGTGTATCAATCAGAAGAATGGGGGGTGGGAGAGAATTAAGCACATTTATTATATCACTCCTCTTCAACAGCTCCCTATCATCCATGAAGTGAACTCTGTAACCACAGAACGTGAGAGCTGGAAGGGTCCTTGCAGAACATCTTGTCCAATCTCCTCATTTTACAAATGATGAAACTGAGGCTCAGAGAGTATTAGCAGCCTACTCTGGAAAGAACACCAGATGTCAAGTCATGTAACCTTGGAAAAGTCACTTAACCTCTCGAGGCCCAGATTTCATCATCTGTAAAATAAGGGGACTGAACTAGTTGACCTCTAAAAGCTCTAACTCCTATGAACCAATTGCTTGCTCAAAGCAAGTCACTTCGGGGCACAGCCTAGCCTTGCCCAAAGAAACTATAGGATGATCCCTATTACCCCCAGTATCCAATCCACCTGGCATTTAAAGATCTTCATCAGCTGGCCCCTTCCTACTTTTCCAGGCTTCTTATGCTTTGCCCCCCACCCCCTCACTTACTCTACAATCCAGTAATCCTGGCCTCCTTGGAGTTCTTTTAACACTTGACAATCCAGCTTCCAACCCTGCCATTTCTCAGCATTTTCACTGGCTGTCCCCTATGCCCAGAATTCTCTCCCTCCTCACCTCCACCTCTTGGCTTCCCTGGCTTCCTTCAAGTCTCTGCTAAATCCTGCTTTCAGCAAGAACCCTCTCCTGGTACCACTTAATGCTAGAAACCTCCCCTACTAATCATCTCCAATTTACTCTGTATATAACTTAGATATACATAGTTTTTTGCATGTAGTTTCCTCTATTCGAATATGAGCTCCTTGAAGGCATGGATTGTTTTTTGCCTTTTCTTTTTATCCCCTCAGTTTAGCACATAACTAAGAGCTTAAGAAATGCTTGTGGATGGGGCAGCTAGGTGGCACAGTGCATAGAGCTCCAGCCTTGGGAGTCTGGTGGACCTGAGTTCAAATCTGGCCTCAGACACTTGACACTTAACTAGCTGTGTGACCTTGGGCAAGTCACTTAACCCCAATTGCCTCACCAAAAAAGCAAAAAAAAAAAAGAAAGAAAGAAAGAAAAAGAAATGCTTGTGGATAACAGAAAGGATGACAGAACTCGGGTCTCCTAACTAACAATAGAAGACTCTCATACTACACCACCCTAGCAAAGTGATTACAGTGTTAAATCAGCCAGTCAGTAAACATTTATTAAGGCCCTACCACGTGCTAGGCACTGAGCTAAGGGCTGGGGATCTAAAAAGAAGCAGTCTCTGCCCTCAGAATTCAAAATCTAATGGAGGCAACAACAAGCAAACAAACATGTACAAATTATATACAGGCTACCTAGGAAATAACAGAAAGGCGGCAACAGAATTAAGAGGGATTGGGAAAGGCTTCCCATAGAGGAGGTTTTGGTTGGCACTTAAAGGAAGCCACCGAAGGCAGTAGGTGGAGATGAGGAGGGGAGAGCATTTCAGGCTTGGAGGACAGTCAGAGAAAACGGCCAGAGCTGAAAGATGATGTCTTGTTCATCGAACAGCCCAAGGCCGGTGTCACTGGGATGTCCGGGAAATAAGGTGCATGAAGCCTGGAAAAGTGGGAGGGAAGTACGTTATGACAGGCTTTGAACACCAGACGGAGGAAAGAACTCTGGACCTATAATCAGAGGGCCTGGATTTGACTCCTAGCTAATCCATTTTATGAACTGTGTGATCTTGAGCAGTTCATTTATCTTCCCCCATCTCAGTTTCCTCACGCGTAAAATGGGACTCACAGATGAAGAAACTACCTCTACAGATGCTACTAGGCACCTTCTCTAAAACTTTCAAGCATTAGAGATGCATGAGGCACTGTGAATAACCTGCCTGGGGCCACACAGCCAACTTGTGTAACAGGTGGGGCTTGAACTCAGGTCTCCCTGACTCCCAGGCCACCTTTCTACCCACAGAATAAATGCAACATAATAAAAACTCGTTGAACGTAGCCCTGGCCTGAAAGTTAGGGAATCTGGGTCCAAGTCCTGGTTCTGATCCTAACTCTGCCACTACTTCTATGCAAAGCGTAAATAAGCTCCTGCTAGCCCTCTCCAGAACTCAAGCTTCTGGAGCCTGGAGCTTGTGCCTCTCGGCCCCTAGAAATTGACATTTGATGGTTCCACGAGGTAGGAGCCCAGAGAGCGTGGTATGCAAATGAGGGGGCGGGAACGCCGACGACGAGCCGGCCCAAGATGTGCGCACGCGCCAGGCTGAGCGCCCTGTGAAAAAAGCCGGGTCCGCGCGACCGAGTCACGGCGGGGTTGGAAACCCGCGAAGCCGCAGGGAGGGAGGGAGGGAGGGAGGGAGGGGTTCATACCTGGCTTCGTTCCCGGTGCTCCCGCTGCCGGGACTTCGCTGCCTTTTTAAACGCCGCCGACATGTCGCTTCCCTCTTCCGAGAGCCCAAAAGGCACCTCCGACTTCCGCTCCGCCTCAGCCGCCTCGCCGGAAACAGGCCGCGCCGCTGGGTGGCCCCTCTCACTTTCACCGAACAGCCTATCGAACTCGGACCTCCTCGGAAGAATCGTTGCCAAACCTGGGGCTACTCGAAAGCCCTTCTGGGAAATGTAGTTTCTTTTGGGCTGGAGCCACGTGACATCTCGCCCATTGTTGGGTGCCGGCTCTAGTATTCCACCGCCTAAGACTTCGTGCTCTGCTAGTCTTTAGCTATAAAACAATCTATAACACTTTGTTTAGCGCCTACTATATGCCAGCTAGCTGGTGCAATGGTTAAAGCGCCGGGAAATCAGGAAGACTCATCTTCTTGAGTTGGAATGTGGACTCAGACACTCACTAGCTGTGTGATCCAGGGCAAGTCACTTGACGCTGCTTCAGTTTCCTCATCTGTAGAATGTACCTGGAGAAGGAAATGGCAAACCACTCCAGTATCTTTGCCAAGAAGAACGAGACACGACTGGACAGCAACAACATGTGCCAGGCACTGTGCTAATGGCTGGGGGTACAAAAAAAAGACAGCCATTGCCCTTGGGGAGCTTGCAGTCTAAGAGGGGAGACAACATGCAAACAAAGCATGCTCTATGGGATAAATTGTAAATAATTAACAGCAGGAAGGCACTGAAATTAAGAGGGGAAGGGGAAGGCTTTCTGTAGAAGGTAGGATTTTAGTTGGGACCTAAAGGAAACCAAGGAGGTCACTAGTTAGAGTGGAGGAGGGACAACATTCTAGGTATGAAGGACAGCCAGAGAGAACTTCCAGAGACAAGAGATAGAGTATCTTGTTCATGAAACAGCCAGGAGCCCAGTGTCACTGGGTGGAAGAATATCCTATTGGAGAGTAAGGTGGGAGAAGAATGGAAAGGTGGGAGGGGGCCAGGTTATGAAGGGCTTTGAATGCCAAACACAGCATTTTGTATTTGATCTTAAGAGGGCATAGGAAGCCACTGGAGTTATTGAGTAGGGAAGTGACAATGACAGACCTCTGCTTTAAGAAAATCACTTTTGGGGCAGCTAGGTGATGCAGTGGCAAGAGCAGGGGCCCAGGAGTCAGGAGGACCTGAGTTCAGATTTGGCCTCAGACACATAACATTCACTAACTGTGTGACTCTGGGCAAGTCACTTAACCCCAATTGCCTCACACACAAAAAAAAAAAAAAGAAAGAAAGGAAAAAAAGAAAATCATTTCGGTGGCTGAATGGGTGGTTGATTGTAGTGGGGGGAAAGACCTAAGGCAGGTAGACCCACCAATAGGTCATTGTAATAATCTAGGCATGAGGTGATGAGGGCCTGCACTATAATGGTGACGGCATGAGAAGAGAGAAGGTATACAAGAGATAATGCAAAAGTGAAATTGGCCTTGGCAACAGCTTGGATATGGAAGGTGAGAGAGTGAAGACCTGAGGATGACTCCTAGGGTGCAAGCCTGAGAGCCTGGAAAGATGGTGGTGTCCTGTACAGTCATATGCAAGGGCAGGGGGTGGGGGGAGAGAAGATGAGCTCTGTTTTGAGCATATTGAGTTTAAGGTGTCTACTGGACATCCAGTTCGAGATGTCTGAAAGGCATTTGGAGAGACAAGAGGTCAGCAGAGAGGTTGGGGCAGGGTAAATAGATTGGAGAATTATCAGCATGAAGGTGGCAGTTAAATCCGTGGGAACTGATGACATCACCAAGTGAAGTAGCAATAGAAGAAGGGAAGGCCCTGGATAGAACCCTGTGGATACCTACAGTTAGAGGGTGTGATCTGGAAGAGGATCCAGGAAAAGGACACTGAGAAGGAGGGGTCAGATAGGAAGGAGGAGAACAGGAAAGAGTCATGTCCAAAAAACCTATAGAAGAGAGAAGGACAGGGTGATCAACAGTGTCAAAGGCTGCGGAGAGGTGGAGGAGAATGAGGTTTGAGAAAGACGGTTGGATTTGGCAGCTAAGAGATTACTGGTAACTTTGGAGAGGGCAATTTCAGTGAGGTTGGAAACCAGATTTTAAAGGGTTAAGAAGAGAGTGAGGAGAAAAAGTGGAAGCACCTGTTATAGACTGCCTTTGGAGGAATTTAGCCCCAAAAGGTAGAAGAGATACTGGATGATAGCAGAGATGGAAGCATGAAGGAGATATGTGCATATTTGTAAACAGTAGGGAATGAGCCAATAGACAGTAATAGATTGAAAATGTGAAATAGTAGGGATGACGGGGTGTCCGTTAGAAGAGAAGATAGACTGGGATCACTTGAACAAGTAGAGGGGTTAGTCATGGTAAAGAAGTAAGGCCATTTCATCATGTGAGACAGGGGTGAAGGAGAAAAGAGTGGCATAAGGCACCAGTGTGATAGGGGATAAGGAAGAGAGGAGAAGAGAGATCAATTTTTTTTGTAAAATATGAGACAAGTTGTCAGCTGAGAGTGGGGGAAGGAGAGCTGTGGGAGGTGTGAGGAGGGCTGAAAAGGTCTAGAAGAGCCACTGAGGAGAGTGGGAGAGTGAGTCAATGAGGGAGGTATGTAGCAGGGTTGCCTGGCAGCAGTGAGGGCCTGGTTGGGATTGTGTAACATAAATTTGTAGTGGACCCAGTCAGAACGGTTGTATGAGTGACCTTTGTACAGCAGCATGTGTGTAGGAGCAAAGGGGACAAATAGGAGTGATCTAAGGCTGAGGCTTAGCTGGATGTAATCAGTGATATGATAAGGGGGGGGGAGCTTCAAGAGATGATAACGTGGAGTTGAATTGGTTCACCAAGGGATGAAGATGGGGAAAAGAGGACAGAGGATAGTGCAGGGGAGATGGCCTAAGAGAGAATTGAGGGGGTCAAGAAATTGGCAATCACAGTGTGGATGAAGAATAGGGTTATGTAAAAAAAGGAGGAAGGAGAGGTGAAAAGCCAAGCGATTATGACTGGATAAGGAGAGTTCAAAATTCTTGAACTTAAAGGCAGCACATTTGTGCGTCACGGCAAGATCAAGGGTAAGACCATTTTTGAGCTGCCACCTCAAAACGTGGAGTTGGCCCTTCCTGGAGGCTGAGTCAGACACAAGAAACCCAAATTCATATTCTCTTAACAATGTTTCACCTTTTTCCATAATTCTGAGTTTAATTTGCTGCTTTGGGGTTGTTGCAGTAGCCCCATATAACTAGCTACCATTCATGGTTGGTCATGAGAACAAAAATAAATTGACCCACAGTTCTTCCTAAACATGAGAATTAAGGCTTCTCTGGCTCCTGGCCATATAAATTAAAATTCCTCATGTTTTTATAGTAGTTTACAGGTTACAAACCACTTTCACATCCATGTCGGGCCCCATAAGACCCTTATGAGGGAAGCTAGACACATGTTCTTATACCCATTTTACATATTAGGAAACTGAGGTCTAGAGAGCAGAATAACAACAGTTCTCATTTCTGTGCTGTGGTTTACAACACACTTTTCCCACTTTTTCTTGGCAACAGATAATTAATAGAATCATTTCAGTGGTCTTTTTGATAGATATTGACTGTTGCAGCTGAACAGATCCTATGACTAAAATTAATACACAGAGCCTATTAATAGAAGGGATAGTGGTGTGTTAGTGATGTTGCCTAAATGTTAGCTTCCAGACCACCGAGTGGAAAACAACTCTTTGGCTATGACACATTTGGTGCCACAACACGATAATCCTGTTTTATGTTTGAGACAACAGGTAAAAAGATATGGTCCTTTGGCAAAAAAATACACAGAATAGGGTTTACGTCACTGATGCTGAGTGAAAACATGAATTGCGATGTTTTTCATCAACTACTAAAAATATGTCAAGGAAACAGTCTTTCTCTAAAGAATTTTTGAAGCCTAAAAGGGTTAAAATAGTTAATTCTTCACTTAAATGAAGCAGCTGCATACAGGCTACTATTGTCCCCATGACGAAGATCTCGCTGTTTCTAAGAACAAAACCTACTGTAAAAGCATGAAGGTTCTGACCCTCCACTGCTCCTTGTAGATTAGAATTGAGTTTAAAAGCTTATTATCTAATTTCATTTGATAACCTATAAACAGTTAAAAAGCCCTGAAAGAATAGAATTATTTAAACTGCACTTGGGGAGAATTTTTTTTAAATTTTAGGGCAGCTAGTTGGTATACTGAATGAAAACTTTGGACTTGTCAGGAAGATGTGAGTTCAAATCAAACCCTGGAGTGTGTGACCCTAAGCAAGTTACTTAACCCTGTGAGCCCAACAATGTAAATAGTTTGTTTGCCCAAAATCACCTACCTGTTAAGTAAAGGAGGCAGGACTCAGGGTCCCAAGATTTTAGAGTTTTAAAGGATCTAAGGCCAACCCCTCATTTTGAAAAAAACTGGAAACTTAAACCCAAACCCACCTTTTAGCCAATCAAGGTTATAGGGTCATAGCTACAGCCAAAACTGGAAGAAGCCACAGAGAACTTCCACTTCAGCCTCTCATTTTACTGTTGAGGAAATTGAGGCCCAGAGAAGATCGATGATGTGCTTAGAGTTATCCATCCCACCTTCCAAGGTGGGATAAAGACCCTCCAGAGTCAAAGCCCTCTCCTCTATACCAGGATAGACTTGCAAAGACAACCTGTTAGTTCGGAACACTGGACCCTCTAGTCACTGAGACTATGATCAGAGCTTCTTCCATAACATGAACCAAAGCTTCCTGAGAACTCTGGCCCAACACAATCATCTCCCTTCTCCATGACCCTCAGAATTTTGGGGTTCTAGGTAGCAGACTCATATAAGTTATGTCATGTTCATAGTTTCATACATTGCTTAACTTCTCACACATATCTTGTCTACCATGTTAGATTTTTGAGCTTTGACCATATCTTGCTTTTAGATGTCCCCACCCCCACCCTAATGCCTTGATGAATCATTCTGGTTGTTTCCCTCCAGATATGAGAGGGGCTATGTGGTACAATGCAAAGACAACTGGGCTCAGAGACAGGTGACCTATGTTTTCATCTGAATTCTGCCACTAATAAACTATATGACCATGGACAAGAAACTCTTTCCCTCTATGTGCCAGTCTCCCAC